AGCTGTGTTTGCCACAATTACTCAGCAGATGCCTGAGAATGGTTTCCTCTTGATCCAGTCCTCTCTCCTGGGCTTGGTTCTCTTTTTCATACCCTTCCCGCTACTCAGGTCATTTTTCTTCTTCGTCTATATCCAAATCCTTTCTACCATCTTCTGTATGAAACTTTACCAGGCCACCAAAACTCGTTCTAGACTCCAACTTCATACTATGAATAGCTGCTTTGTTTGCAGATTTTGTATCCATGGATTCAATCAAGGGAAGTTTGAAAATATTTGAGAAAAAAAAAACTGCATCATTATTGTTTATGAACAGATTTTTTTTCTTCTTGTCATGATTTCCTAAGCAATATAGCATAAGTACTTATATAACATTTGTATTACATTAGGTTTTATAAGTATCCTAGAGATAATTAAAAGTATACAGGAGTTGGGCTGGGGACTTAGCTCAGTGGTTCTGCTGCCTGCCTTGCAAGCGCAAGGACCTCAGTTCAATTTCTGGCACCAAAAACCCCCCAAAAACGCCCAAAACAAGAAAAAGTATATAGTAGGACGTAAATTATATGCAAGTACTACACGAGTTAACACATGGAACTTGAGCATGTAAGGATTTTGTTATCCATGGGTGATCCTGAAGCCAAACCCCATGCATACAAAGACAACTACTATCAGTGAAAAAGTATGATGAAGCTTAAGAAAGATACTCAAAATGACCTGAGCTTTCTCAGCGAGTTTTATCCATTGGACCGTTGTTATGCCATTTCTTTTCCTTTCCTAATTAACTTGACTATCTAGGGAAATTTTAGTTTTGCAGCAAAACTGAGCAAGAAAGCACAGTGAGTTTCTGTGTATTCTTCTCCCTACATACATATAACTTCCCCCCATCAACATCCTATACCAGACTTGTACACTTGTTACAATCCATAAACCTACACTGACATGTCATTATCACCCAATGCCTAAAGTTTATTTTAGGGTTCACTCTTAGTGCTGTATGTTTATGGATTTTACTAAATGTGTAATAATATATATCTACCACTATAGTGTCAGAGAGAACAGTTTCATTTTCCTAAAAATCCCATGTGTATCCCTATTAATTCTTCCCAGTTCCCAAACTCTGGATACTACTGATTTTTTAATATCTCGATAGTTTTACCTTTTCCAGAATGTATACAGTTGGACTCATACATTTTGAAGCTTTTAAAATTGCCTTCTTTCAATTAATGATATACATTTGTTTCCACATCTTTTTTTTTTTTTTGTACCAGGGATTGAACTTGGGATCTTGTACTTGTGAAGCAGGTGATGGAACAAATGAGCTAAATCCCTGGCCCTGTTTCCATATCTTGATCATTTCTTTTCAGTGCTGAATCACAGTCCATTCCTAGATATAACATAGTTCATCTACTAAAGGATACTTTGCTTCCAAATTTTGGCAAGTATGAACAAAACAGCTATGCAGATGCATATATATATATATATTTTTTTTTAATGGACATAATTTTTCAAATCCTTGGAGTAAATATCAAGAAGCATGATTGAAATATTTCCTTTATAAACGCTGAGACAAAGCCACAAGAGTCCTAGCTAAAAAACACACATTGAGCTGTTGAGGGGCTATGCCTAAAGCACATTTCAAAGGGCATAGTCAGTGATGTTGTTTCACCAAAGACTCTATATTTGCAAAAATGTTTTCCAATTACTCTGCTAAACCTCAGTAAGTTTCTCTGATGAAGAAGGAACTGCTTCCTCGAGAAAGAACAGAGGGAATGGAAATGTGAAAAAAAGAAAAGAAAACCCCAAGTACATCACAGAAATCTAAATGAACTAAGGTTCTAGAATTTAGTACCCCAATTCTGTTTTGTCTTCCTCCCAGTTAAGCAGAAAAACAAACTTGGATACTAGTGAAATCTAAAGCTGGTGTCACTCTCAAAGGGAGATTTTTCCTGCTCTCTCCAAAGCACATGAAAAAGAAAAACAAAGTTATTCTAACACTGCCTTTACATTTTGTAGTTAGTGTTAACGTATGATTATGTTTTTAACTTTTTGTTGAGTCATGGACTTTCCTCCGCCCCAACTCCTAGTTTCCAGGGTCAATGGGCAATCTTTTATAAATCACGAGACTGACTTTGCTATGCTTGGTCTTGATCCAGCTTCTTTATTATCCCTGCTGTTGTGCACCACACAGTTCTGTAGACAAACCAGATAAAATGAAGAAACAAAACCAGGAGATTATTCCCAGACTGTTTGCCAACTGATTTTACACTGTTGCTTACTGCTGGTACACAAAATAATGAAAGGTCTTTTATTCACAAGACTTTTAAAACAGAAATTCTGCAGCACAGGAGGATTTCTGGTTCTGTAAACATCATTTGCTCTTTCTTTGTCTCAGTTTCCTAATCTGTTTAGTGGTATCCAGTAAGAATTTCTCTCTCTCTCTCTCTCTCTCTCTCTCTTACTACAAATGCCTTATTCTTCTAACATTTTATCCTAACAGAGCAATAGTTAGAAAGTGAGGCCAGGGATTTAGCTCAGTGGTTCTGCCACCTGCCTCACAAGCACAAGGTCCTGAGTTCGATCCCCAGTACCAAAAACAAAACAAAACAAACAAATAACAATAACAAAAAGGGCCAGGGATTTAGGTTCTGTCTCCTGCCTCACAAGCACAAGGACCGGAGTTCAATTCCCCATACCAAAAAAAAAAAGAAAAAGAAAGTGAAAATTATAGGAACTCCTTGTTTTGTACTTAAACCCCCGCACAAGGCACAACAGAGTAGACTAAAACTAAAAATGGAGTCACTCACAATAAAATTCTACATCTTCAAGCTGTAATGAAGCTATACATTTGTCCTGAAACATCAGGATTGTAGAAATAACTGTCAACTTTCTCAACAGGCTTCTTGTATCAATTGGCATGAGAATGAAGTTCCCTCTACCTTAATCTTTACACAAAAAGGTAACCAATTAGTCAACCAATTAGTTATTTTTCTCTTGTTCTCTTTGCCCCTGCTTTACAAGGAAAATAACTGAAACAACCAATCCACTTTTTTTGTTGTTGTTCTTGTTTCTGCTTTCTTCAGCCTTTTATTTTCTTCTTTTTTTTTTCTTCATAAAACCTATCTTCTCTGCTGGGCTTATTGGAACACATTCTATTTTATGGAATGAATTCTAAAAAATTCTAATAAAATTAAAACTAATCTAATAAAACTAAAACTAATTAAGATCTTTAACCAAACTTATAATTTTGTCTTTTGACAGATTTATGTATGTACAATTATTTATAATCCTCTAGATCTTTCTTCCAGAATTTCCTGGTCTTCAATTATAATATCTCAAGATTGTATGAAACTAGGGAGCTGGCGGCAGTAGTTAACTTTAAGGAATTAGGTTCCATTTTTTACTATCCAATGTATTTCACAAAGTGATCACCACAGAATTGATGTGGGGTTCTGAACAAGTGAGACCAACCCAAAAAGCTAATGTTAATTGCTGTAAACCACATGGCTAGCTACTGTTAAAACTCACAAGAATTGGAACCCAACTCTTTCCACTCTCACCTGAACAATTCTTTTGTTTTGTTTTGTTTTGTTGAGACAGGGTCTCATTACATAGTTGAGACTGACCTGGAACTCACTATGTAGCCCAGGCTGATCTCGAACTCACAGCGATCCTCCTGCCTCAGCCTCTCGAGTGCTGGAATTACAGGAATGCACCACCACACCCCGACTCTGAAGGTTGTTTTTGAATGGAATTTTACAATACCCAAAAAGACTCATGGTCTGTACTGTGTTTCTCAACCCAGGATGTTTCTGAAATTCACACATCTTGGTCTGTTTCTCAGGGATGTATGATGTGACATTGCTATGGATACCTAACTCCTTGCTTAAGTAGAGCCAAACCCCAAAAACCTTAGGCTCAATTTACTTTCTGCAAGAAATACTGACAGCTGGGCCTGGGATTTGGTTCAGTGGTTTCACCGCCTGCCTTGCAACCACAAGGGCCCAAGTTCTATCCCCTGTACCAAAAAAAAAAAAAAAAAAAGAAAGAAAGAAAGAAAAAGAAATACTGACATCTAACAGCTGGGAACTTCTATAGCACAGCCACAATTCTGGGTAAACTAGAATAGGAAGGGGTAGAAGTGTACAGGATCAATCATCTGCCCAAAGGGCCATCTGTTGGCACTGTCATAAATCCCACAAAAGTGTGGACCAGTGTCCTACCCTATAACTTGTACGTGACACTTATTCAAAATATGATAATTTTGCTTTATCTTTAAATGAGCGATTCTTCATTTTGCAGAAAAATAAGAACTTATCGAAAACCTGAATAACAGCTCTGGGGATATATGGATTTTTTTCCAAGTCTGCACTAGAGTGTGTGATGTTTGAAATACAAATCTGCTGAGTTCCTCCGAAGTGGCCTGGGAGTAGGCAGGACAGGCACTGACCAAGCCAGCTGGGAGAGAAGACCAGGCAAGTGTGAGTCAGGCAACGCCCTTGGGTGAGGTCTTTGGAAGATAAGTCATCACAATAGAGCTTTAAACATTTCTGTTCTCTGAGTCTGCTCACTAGTTCAATGAGAAAATGGAGCTTTTTCTCACACAAAAATTCCATGCTCTTTAGGCTGAAGGAGCGGGGAGAAGGACGAGGAAGAGGCAGCCCTGGCACTGGCAGAGATGAACCCACTGTAGGCTGCGAAAAAGGAATGATCACAGCGATTTTGCTACCAACCTGAAACAGTAAGCCCGGAGGTAAACTCATTGAGAGCTAATTGAGAACAGGAAATTCTAGGCGGTCAGGAAAGGCAACGGCCCTCACCCAGGCACGCCCCTCGGTCCCTTCAGGCTCCATTCCGGGCGGGGCCGTGCCCCCCTTCAAAGTCGGGCGCAGTGCCCGGCCCCGCCCCTTC